TGGCGCCTCTGGGCTCCTCGCTGCCCCTTTGCCCCTCTGTCCTGGCTGCCCTCCGAGGGGACCCTGTGCCTTCGCCGGTGAGGCTTCTTTCTGCCCCTCCCCGCTGCGTTTGTTTACTTTCTTCCCCTGGGTCGCTCCCACTGTTGGCTGATCTCTGCCCGTCTCCCCCCTCCGTGGTTTTAGCGACGGTGAAGAGAGCTCGTTGCGCTGGAACCCCACAGATCCCCGGTGAAAATGAAGGTAAGTGGAACCAACCCTGCTCTGGAGCTCGAGCTCTGCCTGGCACAGCCTGTCGTGAGTGAGCTTGGGGCCGTGGAATGTCATTTTTTTCTCTCCTTAAAACTGATTTCCTCTACTAAGCAGCACTTACTGAAAAGGAAGGGAGGACGTTGAGCTGGTGAGGACTGAACCGCACACCCTCTCTGAAGCAGTTAGCACTTCGGAGAGGCTGGTACAGCCTTTCAATTGTCCGTGGGGCTAGTATTTTTGAACACTTCCTGTGTTGGCAGCAACCTTCACAGAAGTAAAGCTTTTGTCCTCTTTCAGGAGATTAAAACAATTTTTTTCTTTCCCGGTGCCAGTGCAATTTGCTAAGAAGAGTATGTAGATTGAGTAAGAGACATATCTCTGCTGGGGATAAAGGGACATTATGTGCTAAAAAAATTAAAGTTGAACTAAAACTAATAATTTTAGTACAGTTTTTACAGTCAGTGTCTTTCAACATATGTCCACTCACATATACATTTTCTTCTGAAAATAACTAACTACTCATAGGAAGGCAAACTAAGCAATATATTGATGTTTAAAAGAGGAAGACTGACAGCCTAACATTGTGAGGTCTGTGACATTAAATGCTTCAGGTTGGATATTTTATTATGGAAAGTATTCTTTTTTTCCTTTTGCACTCTTTGTAAATCCACCAACTTTAAAAGGCACCAGATACTTGACTCCTTGATCAAACAGGTGTATTAAGCTGTGAAATGTGTATATAACTTTTTCCAAGACTCTTTTGCTTCCTTAGCTACTTGCATTAGGTAACTTATCTAATCTTTAATGTTATATGGAGAAATGAAAACTTTTTTCCTGTTTTTTACTAAATGTACATCTTTTAAGTGTACACTTTCCTCTGCATGTAGCGATGTTGAATTGCATCTAGCTTTTGGGAAAAAAGGAACAGAATGCCAGCTTGAGATAGTGAGCATCACTGTCAAGATTAAAATTTATGGTACAAGAAAATTTTTCATATCTTTTCATTGTTTCATTCTGATCATGGCCATTAGATATTCCTTAGTGACACTTATTTTTTATACCAAGATGATCAGCCTAGGAAACTAGATAGGGCTAGAAAGGTCATCTGAATTTAGACTTAAGCCTTTCATATGCAGCTTTCAACCAAAGAATTTTTCAAATCCCATTATGAAGAGGATTGTCGTTATACTATGTCCAAGGTATTGCCTTTTTGTAGCTATGTTAATAAATATTTAATTGAATATTGTCAGTGTTAATTTTAATAGCAATCTTTCTTTTAATTTGAAGATAGCATTTTGAGGAAGCCATCAATAAATGGCTTGAAGTTCTGTGAGACATTTAAAATGAATATGTCTTTCCTCGCTTTTCTTATTTTTCTATTATATAAATTTTAAAGCTGTTAGGCCATTTTTTATTTGGAGAAAAACGTATTTCCTTACTGATAATTTGCAATTACACCTTGAAAACATTTTATCTTAGATGACATTTGTATATAGAACGGACTGTTAATAAAAGTATTAGCTTCTGGGATATTTTTCAAATTAATGATATTGGTCAGCAAATAATTTTAGCATTCTTGTTATTCTAAATGTAGGACCTCTAAATGAGACTTGAGACTAAAGTAAGGAAAATAATAGTGCTGTTTACATTTCATGATCTTTCCTTCAGGCGGCGGATGAGCCTGCCTACCTGACAGTGGGAACTGATGTCAGCGCCAAGTACCGAGGTGCCTTCTGTGAGGCAAAGATTAAGACTGTGAAAAGGCTGGTAAAAGTTAAGGTAATTCCACCGCACCCCTAATCTATCTGTTTTGTTAGTTTGGGATTGAAGAGAGTTGGGGAGGAAGATTCAGCATTTATTGAATTACAACTGTACATAAAGAGCACATTAAGAAATTTAAAATGAGAAATTATTTCAAAATGCCTTTCCCAAAATGCCCTTGCTCATATGTACTAATGTTTGAATCTTCCTTGTTTATGGCAGTGGTGTTAAGCCAAGTTGTCTAAAGAAATAAAACCAGTGACATTCATATATGTATACGAAAGAACTTAATATCAAGAAGTAGGTTTTTTTTAATCAAGAAGGTATCCTAGCCCAGTCCAATTCAAGTTCATACAGCTGAGGCTACCTGTGGCCCTCATTAGACTCTCATAGTAATAGGCTAATCCCACAGAAAGGTGGTGAAGAAGGGAGATCAGAGGCCACCACGGTGGTTGTAGTTATGTGGGTGCAAGGTTGGCAGGAACGTGGCAGGCCTCTGGCAGCATTGTAGGTCTACAGCCTACATGGGGCCAGCCCTGGAGGCAGACACACAGAGTCCCGGGAGCAGGGAGGGTGAAGGGACAGAAGAGATGTTCTCACTGTCCCCTGTAGAAAAGGCCACACTCCCAAGGAAGCATCATCGGTCTACCACCTGATTGGCAGCGTAAAGTTGACATAAAATCTGCCAATGTAGCCAACTAACTTAGGCCATAATCTTTTTTCTCCCCTTTGGTAAGGTTTACGTATAGATGATTTCACTGGTTAGATAAGAACAGTGCAGTGGGAATTGGGTTTTCAAGACAGTGTCAAAAATATTTCAAGAAATTTATTTTTAAGATAGCTTTTGACTAGAAAAGAGTGAACATATTATATGTAATACTGTGTTAAAAAATCATGACTTCAGGTTGGTTCAATATGGCTAATGAGGAGCCCTGGCTCCTTAGTGGGTTACGAATTTGGCTGATAACTACAAGGTCAGCCACCACCAAATGCACCAAAACTGCTCTGGAGGAGAAAGGTGAGGCATTCTATTCATGTAAAGAGTTCATCTCTGTCCTATAAAGTTGCTAATGAGAAAATTGAAAATTGAATAAAGAGGAATGACAACTGTAATGGGAAAAATTGAAATTGGTGCAGGAGAAACATTTCAGAAGTGTAGTGCGCCCTTTCAGGAGCCTATGCGGGCGATTGGATGGATTATTGCCAGGACTGGGGTGGGACTCAGCTTTCTGAGAGCTTTGCTTTGGTACCGTCTTGAGCAGCGCAACGTGTTTGACTGTGTTCAGGGATTTGGTGCCTGTGCAAAGTACATGCTGCCCTTGCTTTCTAAAAGGTAGATTGTTTTTAATCAGGTGTTGACCATTACTTTTTTTCCCTTCTGGTTATCAGCCTGGTTCACCTACATTTTGCAGATTTGGTTGCATTTTGCATTCCAGTTTTGCTTTGTTGGCCATGACTAAACAAGGAAGAAGCAGCTTGAAACCTTGTTTAAAATAATAAAAAAATGAACAGGACTAATCATCTTAGTTTATGTCTCAAAAATGTTACTGTTAATATTTTTGTGTTTGTGGTCATTTTACTGTGTAAATATATTTTAAGTAATCTGTTAACCAATGCTTATTGTAAATATTGACATCCTAGAGCTATATAATATAGTTTATGGAAGTCTTTGTTAGACGTCCCAATAGATCTGGTGTAACCCTTTACATTTTTCAGTGTGGCTATCACAACATTGTTATTATAAGCAGGAAATCATTATGGATTACTTGCAGTTTTGCAGTCTGCTTTTTTCATTGAAAATATCAGAGAGAAGGGCTGTGGAAGGGGAAACAAAGTCTGACTGTTTGACCTCCAGTAGAGATATACACCAGATATATAGACCACGATTTCAAATTTGGTTAACGAGTGAATTAACTAGGAGAATATGATTTCTGTAGTCGATAAAAAGATTTATCTGATTTGGTATAACATTTCTGTTTAAACTGTAATTTGCCTATCAAACTTTTCTTTCAGTGTTAATAAGATGCCATTTGACAATTTTCCCCAGATTTCTTTTATATTTTATAGGAAATTTTGATGTAGGATTTTTACCATGTCAGCTCGACAGGATTTATTTAGTAAACATTTAATTAGGATTATGTGGAGTCTTTACTTTTTTAAAATTTTGGATGTTAAAGTCATTATTATGGTTGTTGGAGGAGCCTATACATTTCCTAGAATTTGAATTTTTCTTACTTGGGCAATTGCTCCATTGTGGTTACTTATACTACTATGTATTTGGGGAGAACTGCAGCAGATAAGCAGTCCTAGTGGCACAGTGGTTACAACACTCAGCTGCTAACCGAAAGTTTGGTGGTTTGATTCCATTAGCTACTCTGCAGGAGAAAGATGGAGAAGTTTGCTTCCACAAATATTTATGGCTTTGAAACTTTGGGTGCTCTGTAGGGTGTTTCTACTCTGTCCTCTAGGATCATTATGAGTTATAATCAACTCCACAACAGTGGATTGGTAGTAGAAAAGAGCATTTGTTTGCAACAATTACATATTATGATTGTTACTCACATTTACTTTACAAAGTATCAGAGTTATCCTTTTACTTTATTTTCCTTACGGGCAATAGAGGTTGCTACTAGTTTGTTATAAACTTGATGAAAATCATACTCTTTTATGACTTGTCTATAAAAAACAGTAAAGGCAGTTTCTAGTGAGGATCCCTGGGAGGTATAATGATTGTGCTTTGGGCTGCTAACTGCAAGGTCAGCAGTTCAAAACCACCAGCCTCTCCAAGGGAGAAAGAGGAGGCTTTCTACTCCCATAAAGAGTTACTGGCTTGAAAAGACACAGGGGCAAGTTCTATCCTGTCCTATAGTGTCACCATGCATTGGAATCGACTAGGTGGCAGTGTTGGTAAGTGTTCCATAGTTTGTTCATTCATTAAACAAACATTTATTAAGTGCTTGTATATATACACTGACACTTGGTAACTGGTAGGGATCTTGCAACAAAGGCCAGCCCCAGTCTTCAAGAAGTGGGGTTAATGTGAGAGACAATAAACATAGATACAAGACAGTGTAATAAGAATTAAACTCCAGTTAACAACAGGGTTCTAAGAAAGCCTATAGTCATTATATCATTTAAAAGTAACATAAATTGTACAAAAATGTTTTTCAGGTACTCCTAAAACAGGACAATACTACACAGTTGGTGCAGGATGATCAAGTAAAGGGTCCTTTAAGGGTATGTATGTTCTACAGTTTAAAATATGAATTTCTGGATCATAAATTGAGGCAATTTCCTAAGCTTTATATTAATAAATTCCTTAAAAATATTTAGAGAGACATTAATTTTTTTAACAGTTCAGATAAGGTTAGTCTTTTAGTCTAGGTCTTGATATTGCAATGACTATATCTTAGATTAAGACCATTACATAAGCATGTTGAGTATTTAGCCTTTTGAATTCTTGGACTGAATACCTCAGTTTGATTTTTACATTGTTGTTGTGTCTTTTTACTCTGCTAAGTCATATGCTAGTATTTTATAAGCCTGAGTCTTCAAGTTTTCTGGTTTATCAGTTAAACTGTGTCATAATTCAATTTGTTAATTAAGGTTGTGAATACCTGCAGTATGTTTTCCATTCATTTCTGGCTAATTGTTTATGTAATAAATCTTTGTTATTCCAGAGTACAACTTTGCTTATTAATCTAGTGTACGAGGGTCTGAAAACTAAAAGGTCAGCTGGTACATCTCTTTGTCTCTACAAGAGAACTTTTATCTGAAAAAACATATAAATGCAGGCGTTGAAACCAGTATTTTGTATTTTTGTGAAAAATAAAAGTTCTTTTTGGTGCATCAATGGTTTCACAATGTTTGAGTTTGGCAAATGTTTGAAGGCGTTGTCGCCCACAATAAAGTAAGTGTCAAAAGATGGGGCTCTCATCCCGGAGTCTTCACAAGCTATTTTCTCGTTTGAAGCCACACCGTCCAGTGAGTAAAATGGGGAAATGGTGTAGATAATAGACCGCAGCACTTGGGGCTCAAGTTACATAGAGAACTACTCATAAGGAACTAAGCCAGTGTAAAGTAAAACTATCGTAAGCATTATTATTCTTAAACCCAGATTGTATAGTTGGGGGCAGGGGGTGTAGTTTTAATTGCATTTTTTTAATTGTCATTTAAAAAATTTGGCTTTTATGTTCTAGGTCGGAGCTATTGTTGAAACAAAAGCATCTGATGGATCCTTTCAAGAAGCTATTATCAGCAAGTTGACAGATGCTAGTTGGTATACTGTAGGTAAGAGGTGGAGTAATTTTTAATTCATAGATTTGTATTTCTATATTTTAGACACAATGAATCATTGTGTTCCCAGAGAATTATGTATTAACTTATAAGATATAGTTGGATGAATGTGTAATGGTGGCTTGCTGTTAATGAAATTAACTATCATAGTAACTGGGTCACTTATTGTTATGTCTTCCATGAATGTATTTCTTTTTTGTAGAGTACCTTTAACTTCTCTTTAAGGAAGTTAAATTACAGTGTTATTTTTCTCTGAAAAGAAGTTAATAAATGTGTAAACGTTAGTATTATGAATAGTGAGAATTTTTCTGTAGTTAAAATTAAGATTGCATAACTTCAAACTTTTATTACAGTGCTACTTACTTTATGTAAGTATAATGTAGTTGTTACCAGAGAATTTTCAAACTGAAAAACTTTTAAAAAATGTTTTCATCATTTTATTGGGGGCTCTTACAGCTCTTATAACAATCCATACATCAATTGTAGCAAACATATTTGTACATTTGTTGTCATCATCATTTCCAAGACATTTTCTGCTTGAGCCCTTGATATAAGTTCCTCTTTTTTCCCCCTCCCTCCTTTTTTTTTTCTGTTGCAGTAAATTTTGTTACAATGAGGGGTCTTGGTTTCAGCTCTAAAGAAAGAAATAATGTGCTACTATTATGAATACGCTAACATTCCATAAATAAACTTTACTTCAGGGAGTAGCAACAAGTCTTATCATACATTCACATTAAAACCTAAAACTAGTACTTAAATAGTTGCTGTCATTAGTAATGGTTAACTTTTAAATCTTATGTTAGTTGCTTTTTAACTGCATAATCCTGTGCAGAATTCACTATCCTTTCTTTTGCAAGGATCTACAGTGCAGTTGTTTGGGTTCTGCATTCATATCTTGATGTAAGTAGTTTGATTTTAATGATACATGTTCCTTCCCCATATGGAAGGAAAATAAATGACCCTTTAGGGTTAGTGTTTAAAACCATCAGCCATATTAAAAAAAATTAGTGTTATCTTGGAGATTGAGGTTGTGTTAATTTGGTTTTTAAAGAAATTGGCCTTGGCTTTTAATTTACTTGATTCGTTAATTTGTTTAGAAATCATTGGTCTTTAGTTGATACTCCAAGCTGTGCAGAACATGCTTGGTTAAAAATGATTCTTCCTGTATTTTACTTTGTGGCTTCTATTAGCAGGAGCCCTTAGCTGTGTATAGCTACTGTTTTCTAGTCCTGTATATTCTTATAACTCATAAAAGATAGTATTCCTTCTTGATGATGCTATTATTCTGAACAACACATTTTTAGAACGTTTAATTGGTTGTGGCTACTAGAATTGTTACAGATTTAAAATCTGGGCTTAAATACACCAAGTAAATGATGTATTCAATCAATGACCTTCAAAATAATGGGGGAGGGAACTTCAGTTCTAGGATAAAATATCAAAATGGAAATAAGCTTGTCTTATGTAAGGAAATACGACATGACTAGAGCAAACTAAGCCAGGAGGAGAATGGTTCAACAATGACTTAAGAAGTAACCAAGCATGGGGACATAGGATAAGCTATTGATGGGGTTGGATAAGAAGCTTAAATTGTTGAATACAAAATAAATGATCTGAAATGTAACTCCCCATCTAATTCCAATTTTTTAAAAAGTCATTTCATTAAAAAAAAAAAAGTAACCAAGCCCCAGACCATGGGTAGGTGCACCTTAGTCCTTAAGGCAGCATCTTTGCTTTTGAACACTTAAAACAGGTCTTTTTCACACAATTTGCACAGAATAATACTTTGATTTGTTGAGTATGACTTCCATGAGCATTATTGTTAATGCAAGTAAAATAAAATCTTTTGTAACTTCAAAAAAACCAAACAAACTGGGCTAAATATAAACTCTGAGAACATTAAATAAATGCAACTTTGTATCCTAAAGGACTTGTAACAATGACAGAGGTTAATGTGTACAGAATCATGGGAAAATGTATGATGAATTCCCAGATCCTAATATTTCAACCTACCCTACTCAAGGAACCCTGGTGACACAAGTCGTGCTCAGCTGCTCACTGAGAGATTGGGGCACATACCCACCACCCAGTCTGCGGAAGAAGAAACTCTTCTGTTCTGTCCTAGAGGGTTGCAATGAGTAGAGCTGACTCAGTGGCAGTGGGTTTGTTTTTATGGTGTATGTGTAACATGCCTCATTACCCAGGAGGCTCCAACGATACCATGCTCATGTCTCTGTAGAAGCCATAATTTTCACATTAAAAAAAATTCACATAATTTTCACATTAAAAAAAAATTCACAAATTATTCTTCAATTCTGATTAGCCATCGCTGCGCTCTACCTGAGTGGCACTTTGACATTTCTGAAACGAGTCACTACTGAGTATATACTCTATGGTGATTCTCTGTGATAGGCACTAACTGAAGAAAATGAATAGTTCTTGTTTTTAAAGTTCAGAATCTTAATTGCCTGTAATTCATTTTAGGTACTAGTGTACATGCAAATCACTTGGTGCTTTTTAAAAGAACACGAGAATTTGAGGGCTTCCAAGCTTTTACAATTTACTAAGCCTAGGAATTTTCCTCTTTAAAAACATAATGTGTGGTTTTAATGTAGATCATTCACACTTAGGAACACAGACCACAATTGGAAAAGCAGACTTATTTGGAAGAAAAATTCAGAATATTAAAGATTTTTTCCGTATGTATATGAGGATTAACCTATTAAAGTTTAATTGTCCTACATAGACTCAGTATAACACTCTGCTAGGAAGAACATTTAGATGTTGAAGGATGGGAGCCGTACAATGAATGATCAGAGTATATTATAAGCTTACTGACTAACTGGTGAAAACAGTGTGTGATCTACCACAGATCAGAAACTTTCAATAATTGTCTTTTTTAAAAAAAATAATCATTGTATTAGGGGTTCATACAACTCTTATCACAATCCATACATACATCAATTGTGTAAAGTGCATTTGTACATTCATTTCCCTCATCATTCTCAAAACATTTCCTCTCCACTTAAGCCCCCGGCATTAGGTCCTCAGTTTTCCCCTCCCTCCCTGCTCCCCTCTCCCTCATGATCAATAATTGTCTTATGTTGAGTTCCTACTGATTAGATTTCCTGCGGGATAGAGACAGTTAAAGCATTCAACTGCTAACTTAGAAGTCCCAGTCTATCCTGAGAAGCTATGGATGAAAGTCCTGGTGCTCCTACTTCTTTAACAATCCACGGTGGACTGTCATAAGAGTTGTACAAGCCCCCAGTAAAATGATTTTTAAAAAATCCACTGTGGAAAACTCTGAGCACAGTTCTGTTCTGAAATGCGTGCTGCGCTCCGTCAGAATACACTTGATGGCAGCTGCTAATTGGCGCTACTTTTGGATTGAATTAGTCTTTTCCTGAAACCATTCTTGACTTCTAATTCCTCATAAAGCGTTAAAGGTAGAGCCAGAAAGTTACACTAATATTCAGGCTCCATGACTTTATTTGGTTTGAAGAGATCTCTGATGTTGGAATGTTAGACAATTGTAATAGATACAAAAGAAGATTTCACTGTATGGTTTTAAAATAAATAAATAATATCATTAGTGATCAGAAATTATCTAATGAGTCACTGGGATTAACTCTTAATATACTGGTATTAATTTTTGTTCTGCAATTGTTGATAAACCAGTTTTGAAAGAGATTATATGTCTAATATGACTCCAATTGTAGATCTACTAATAATACCTTGACCTGTAGCCTTGAACAATAAATAACCCTAGGCTGTGCTTTCTCATTTTTATATTTTTAGCAAAGAAATATCTTCCTAACAGAAAGCAGTGCTTCATTTGTTGTTTGCTCATTTGGCAGTCCATGCATTAAAGATAGGAGTCCATTATATATGGAAGTATATTATCTACCCATTCAGGAGGTATCAAGTAGGATTTATATTACTTCTCTACTTGAATGCTGTCACTTCGTGGCAAATACAGTTCGCCCATTATTCTAGCCATAATAAAGAATGTACGTGAAATTAACTTTTCAAAATTCTGATTGATTTTATTTCAAAGTGGTTATTTAAAAAGAGAGAAAGCTAAGGACATGTAATTATTGAAATTGCACACTGGTACATTTTTATTTGGGACTGCAATGGATTTAATGATAAAACCCTTTAGAAAAAGATCTTGTTATGTTTGATAGTGACTATTGGTCTCATATTCTTATTTTCCTTCCTCATGTTTCTGTGTGTGTGTGTGTGTGTGTGTGTGTGCATGTGTCCCACCGGCACCATCTTTGTTTTGTAGGGATTAAAAAAAAATCAGACCTAGTAAAGGCTTTATGATTTTGTATTCTTATGAACATTAACACTAAAATTATTTCATATAGAGTTTGTGAACTTTTGAAAATATAATGGTTTGTTTATTAGAATTATAATTGTAAAAAAATAAAAATATGAAAGAAGGTAAAAATTATAATTATGATACAGATGTTTACGGCACTGTTAATCAGGCACAGATCAGTGAGTGATGTAGTTGTTGGAGGTTATTGTGTTTTCTATAATTATGTTTTTAAATAGTTATTAATTTCTGATTTAGGGTCATTAAAGCAGAGCTTATTTTTTTGGAATTGTGATTCTGTGAATATGTGCTTTTGGAACTTTTAATTTTTTCTTCATTGTGTCTTGAATGTAAGACAGTCTAATTTAGTTATCTTTAGTTTAAGAGGAATTACTGGTTTAACGTAGAAAACGTTGAAGAAGCTGGACACTTTAATCAAGATTCTAGGAAAAATAAGTTTATTGTTTAGAGGCAAGAATTTTATTTAAAAAGTCAAATACAGAATTGTAACTGAAAGTGACAAGTTGAAAGAGTAAACTTCAGGATTTTTCTTTATTAAAACTAACTTAAGAATACTGAGTAGTTTGTTGAAGGATTGAAATATTTTATAGACAAAATACTGAACAATGCAAGAAGCATCAAGGTTAGAGGAAATATGAAAAATCACTGTACAAAAAAGAATTGGTCAATGCTCATGAGGTATTGTATGATTAAGAATCAATGGTATTGAAGGAAGAAGTTCAAGATGCACTGAAGACATTAGTGGAAAACAGGGCTCCAGAAACTGATGGTACCAGTCGAAGTGTTACAGTAAATGGAAGTGCTCACTTGTCTATGCTAAGAAATTGGAAGGCATCTACCTAGCCGCCTTTCTGAAAGTGATGCATATTTTGCCTTTTCTAGAGACGGGTAATCCAAAATCATGCTGAAATGATTGAACAATAGAATCTGTCACATGCAAGTAACATTTTGCTGTAGATATTCAAACGCACTTGCAACTGTCAGGAATTTCAAGTCAGATTTGGAAGAGCATATGGAACAAAGGATATCATTGCTGACGTTAGAAATGTATCATGGTTGAAAGCAGAGAAGAAGACGAAGATGTTTACCTGTGTTTATTGACTAGGCAGAGACCTTCGATTGTGTAGATCATGACACATTGGGGAGAAAAGGAATTATGGAATACTTATTATCTTCATATAGAACCTGTACATAGACCAAAAGGCAGTTGAGGTGCTCAAACCGAAAATGTGATTTACTGCACAGTTTAAAATCAGCAAAAGTGTGCCCTAAGGTGGTATGTTTTTTAGTATGCTTACTCAATTTGTGTGCTGCAAATAATCTATGAGGCAGGACTATATAAATAGAATAACTTCTGGATTGGTGAATGGCTCAGTAACAGTCTACAACATCCAGATGATACAACCATGCTTGCTGAAAAC